ATTAAATTTTAATTTGATGGCCAAGATCCCTCCAAGAATACCTTAATGCAATGTTGGAGATGAGGTCAAAGGTTCCCCAAAAAGTTACCTATAAATAGGTATGCATGAAATTAAAGAAAATGGCATAAAAATCACTAAACCTAAAAAAAAAAAAATAAAAAAAAATAAAACAACAACAACAACAACCCTTAGGATTTCATACCCAAAAACCACTCTTAACACCCCTATACTCCTTAATTCACCCCACTAATTAAGGAAAACAAGTTAGAAGTTGAAGGAATTCCAACGAAAAAAATTAGGAATTAGGCCGAATTTGGGGGAAGAAGAAGGAAGGAGAAATTCTCAAAATTTTCACCTTTTGAAGTTTAATTGGAGCATATTTAGGTAAGTTAATCTCACCTACATCACAAGAATATTTAATTTCAAAGTCAATTTCATGTTTAATTACTTGAATTTTCCTTAATTACTAAATTAGGGAAAAAAAAAGATTTAAGGCTAGGGTTCTTGGTGACCCAAATTTGGGAGAATGATTTTGAACTCATAATTCATGTATTTAATATGGAAACAAGTTAATTAGGCTTGAAAATTTTGGTTAAAACTAAAAAATTCCTAAGGTTAATTAAGGGTAACCATTCGACCCAAACTAAAGAAATTTAAGATTGGAATTCCAAGCAAGCAATCCTATTCTAATTTTGTGAGTCATATATAGTTAAATAAGCATACTTTGATGAGTAGAAGTGAAACATTAGTCAAAAGTTGAAGAAAATGGGTTTTATGGGCTTGGGTCCAATTTTAGCCCATTAAGGCCCAATATGGGTTTGGACCAAATTTCGGGTCCCAAATTTCAATTAAATTAATTCCTATAATTTTTACATATCGAGGCTACTTAGTGTTAAAATGGTGGGAGAAAATGAGAAGAAAATATTAGGATTCTAAAGAGTTCCAAGTTTAGGCCTAAATGAAAATTTTGTGTAGTTTTAAACCTTAAAATTGATGATTCGGACTCAAAACACGGTAAAAGGATGGTTTAGAATGAAAAGGGATCATAAAAATTTAAAGAAAATTTGGGTTAGGAAAAAATTGGGTCTTAGGCCCAAACCGAAATTGAACCTCCTAAATCGGTGAAATAATACCTAGTTAGGTTGGAACATGAAATGAAACTTAATTTGGTAAAGACCAAATATGGAAAGATAATTAAGAACCTAAGGAAAAGAATTTAGGAAAGTAAAGTGATAGGTAAGTTTAATGAACAAAGAAATGGAACAAAAATGTTCATCTTCCTTTATATTATAGTTATATTCTTTCAAATGCTATATGAATGCATTAGGTTATGAATAATGGTTATGCTTGAATGTGATTGACGATGAGAATTGGGTTATGATGATTAATGCGCCAATGATGGCGGTGATGGTTTATATTGGATTGATGTTATCTATGCTTTGTTATGCTTGCCTAATTTTATATTGATTCTTATGACTTGGTTACATAATCATTCAAAGTAAGCATTCATGAATTCATACGACATGCTTGGTTCATTGCAATTGCATACGCACGTTTAGCTCATGAATAATGTTTTAAGTCATGAAAATATATTTTATGTCATGGTTATTCGATAGCAATCGAACAATTTTAAAGGAAAAGATTTTCATGACTTTGAGGTTTTAAGGAAACGACTTCATGGGTTTTTCTTACGGTGATGGTAATGGCTCGAGGTCTGGGTAAGTGCGGACACTGCAATTTTAGAGGCTCGGTAGGGCACATCCGTAGATGAATCCGATTCGTCGGACATATATTATGAAAACCCCGAAGCACCTAATGGAATATGTCCATAGACGGAAAAATGATTTTCGATCTGTTTTATGTTTTATGACATGAGGAAAAAAGAGACTCACTTTGCATAAAGTAGTATTACATACTCGCATGTACATGAACATGTATTACATGCATCCATTAACTTATTGAGTTATTGCTCATTTAGTTTCTTGTGGTGTAGGTAAGTAAACCATTATAGCCTACTTCTGCGGAGCCGATCATAGAAGGAGGCACCTAATGTGTGTATCTTGGATGGAGGTTCGATTTTTGGATAGACCCACTGCATATTGTTTTTAATTATATTACGAGTTATACTTCTATATGTACTTGATGTAGCTACCCCATCCTATACAATAGTAAAGGCTATGAAACGAGTAAGCGATATGACTCGATAATCGTACGAAAGCAAATAAACCAATTTTGTAGTAATTGACATAAAATTAGTCTTTTATGTAAATAGGCGAGATGTGTAATCGAACCGGTAATAATAAAATGATACGAGTAGTAATAGTTGTGTAATTATTCTAAAAAAATAGTAATGAATAATTTAGTAAGTGAATTACATTAATGACTACCTAATAAGGTGAATGAATAAAGGTAAGCAATTTAAGGAAACTCGAAAAAATTTATAACGACTTTTTAATAAAGAAATAGGACCTAAGCGTTATTACTAGACGCCCACTGCATAAACCTCTTTAAATAATTTACGATAAGATCATAGTACTTTGTTAACCTACATTGATTGCACTTCGAATATGGTTAACGACGGTAATATTCTTAGCCCATGAGGTCCTAGGTTGGGGGTGTTACATTTATAATTTACTTTTTGCCTACTCCACCACATCTCTATCTATTCAAAAGAAAGGATCACCTTATTATTTTTAGTGAACTTTAAAATGACAAGACGATAGAATATACATTTTGTTTAAGCACCGAATTTGTATAAATGAGTAAAAACGGACCGAATTTTTGGATAAATTAATCTTGATTAAAAAACGAATTGAGTGGAGAACATGTCTTAAAAAAAAAAAGAATGTATAGTTTTGATTTCAAGGTGGTCGTTTTGTAAAATTATTTATAAGTAATATTAAATGATGAATTTTTTTTGTTTTATTATTATTTTAGCATAACAAAAAACAATAAATAATTTTATTATCAAACGATTGAATATATTTAATTTTATAGCATAACAAAATGCTCACAACACAATACATCGATTACTAATACGGTATAATAAAAGCCAACCGGACTCTATAGCATTCCATTTGCTTGTAAATAATCGTGTTCTTGGTACTATCTCGTTGCTATGGAATGCTAATTTTCTTAAGAAAAAAGAAAAAGAAAAACATATCCTAATCGTGGATAGTAACGTTAGTCGATAGTATATTTAGTTGTTATTTATTGGACATTTAATGTGATTGGTCATATGTTTGCAAGTTTTTGGAACTAGAAAAAAAAACAAATGGAAGACTTTTTTGATGTTTTTAAAAAATTAAAGTGTACACATAATTTTGAAATAACATCTATTGTCCTTTTATCTTCCGTTATGTAGATGCGGGAGTGTTGTTATATTCACGTGCGTCCGCAAACCCATCACCTTTCTTAACGAGGTATGGCACCTCTTCTACCATTTTCCACATTAAAAAAATTTATAAAGTCCATCTTTATGCACTCATCCTCCCCCTCACACCACACACATTTTCCCTCTCTGTTCCTTCTTCTCTCTCTTTGCTTAATAATCATGGCGAGCAATCCAATCTACATGATTACCATACAAGGACTAGAAGATTTGTACGTGTTCATGCGGCAGATATAGATGCCTCTCGGGGCGGTTTTGAGTTGAAACAAACATGGTTTGTTTTATGTTTTACAAGTTTTTGGTCGTTGTTTATTTAGGATGAGATGAGAATTGTTTTTGTGTTCATATCTGGTTATGGTTTTGATTTTAGGGTGAGGAAGCGGTGTTAGTCGGATGGTGTTTTTACTTCTCTTTTTAGTCAATTGCTTTATAGAAGCATCGGTTTGCTTAGATAGCTTGGTGGAACCGATGGCTTGTTCTCTCTCGTGCTTTGTTTCGTCTTGGTTTATCGCTAATTTTATTCTTGTTGCTATGAGAGATCCATTACAAAAGATACAATGAAAGAAAGAAAGAGATGATCCGTATCCATAGGTACAACGATCGGTCAAGATTGAATTATGATGATGTAAGTGTTTTGGAATATATTGAATTATTGATTTGACTTGCCCTAATTAAAGAGTTTAGGGCTACCTTTATAGTGTTTCCAGTTAAATTTGCTTTAACATATTAAATGTTTGATTTTTGTTATGCGAAGTTCAACTTGTGGGTCGGTAATGTTGTAGGAGAATTCATATCTTGTTGACATGTGAACCAAATGCGATTTCATATAACTAATCTGCTGGTGTTGGCTGGATAACCAAATTGGATTCCATGTCACTAATTTGCTTGGTGTTAGTTGGTTTTGACCCAATGCTGGAACTACAATGAGAACTCGACTTAGCTTGAAACGAAATGTACCCTTCTTTTATGGCTAGTAATCCGACTCTATTGAAGAAGATTGGCGAAAGAAAAGCTTTTCCTTGTTCATTATCTTAAAACCTAGGTATTCATTGCCCTAGTCGATAATCCTTAATTCCTTTTTTGGGTGATAGATTGTGATGTTCCATGGCTTTCCTTGCCTTAACGTTGATCTCTCGCTTGTTATTATTATTATTTTTTTAATGAATTTAAGAGCTTAATTTACGTTCGGTCTTCTAATCCATAATAGAAATAACGTACTTGGTCCATAAATTTACCCTGTGGTTGTCAAGGAATACAAAAATGCTCTATTAGTAATTTTTTTCACACAATCTCTATTCCTATTCTCCTGCTATTGTCACTAATGCAACATGTCAATTTAATTTCCCAAACCAAGCCAATAACCCGGAAACTAACACAACCGGATATAGTTCAAACTAGAAAACGAAAACACACCAAAATCCATTTTTTGAGAGCTTTTGTTTATTTTGAACCCTCTTTTCCATCCATATATTGCTATTCATTTAAAAAGTCTGGTTCCAAGGTGGTTTTTTTTTTTTTTTTTTGCTGTGAATGGTGTTTGGAATGACATCAACTTTGGGTCATAATGGTGGTTGGAATGGTAGCAACTTTTGGCCTATAAGGGAGAAAAATGTGGTGGTCTTTTGGCGACAAGTTTCATCCTAAAAGGGAGGAGAATATGGTGGTCTTTTGGTAGTAAGTTTTAGCTCAAAAGATGGAGAAAATGAAGGTGGTTTTTAAGCAGCAACTTTTCGTCTAAAATAAAGGAAAGGTTGTGGTTTTGTGGCTGCAACTTTTGGCCTAAAAGGGAGGAGAAGATGGTGGGTTTTGGTGGTTGGAAGTTTCGACCCAAAATGGAGGAAAAGTTGGTGATTTTATAGTAAAAGAGGGCTGATTTTGTGGCTGTAAGTTTTAGTATAAAAATGGAGGAAAAAATGGTGGTTTTATGGTGGAAGAGGGTTGGTCTTTGGCTCGCAGCTTTCAGCCCAAAAATGGAGAAAAAGATCTTGGTTTTGTGGAGGAGGTGGGCTGGTTTTTTGCTTACTTTTATAGAGGAGGGGCTGGTATATTCGGCATGGAGGAGAAGTCTGGTGTGTTTGGTTACAATGAAGGAAGAGGAAGTTTGAGCACAATGGAGGTGGTGGTGTTTGGATTGAAGAAGGAAAGGAAGTTTCGACTAAAACAGAGAGGAATGTTTGACTGGTATGAAGGAGGAGGAGATATGGTCAAGTGGAGGGAAAGAACGAGTGTGTTTGTGTGGAGGATACGATTTGGCCAAGTAGAAAGAGTTTCGGTTGAAAAGATGGAGAGGGTCGTGGCAAATTTTTTAAAGGATGATGTATAGTGTTAGGTGGAGGAAAAGGTGAGTATTTATAAGGAAAAAAAATTAAGATTTGGGATAAATATTAATTTTGGTTCCTAGTTCTTTCGTATTTGTCAATTTTAATGTTATTTTTCTTGTTTAAACTTTAATAGTACCTCTTAATTGCATTGTACCATACTTTTTCTTTTAATTATGGATACGAGCTTTTAGACTTTTCAATTACATCTTTAATTGGATTTTTTTTTCAAACTTTTTATTTCTCTTAACTAGACCTTTATAAATAATTTTTAATCATTTATTTTAATTGGAGGTTGGCTTTTTGTGTGGAGGAGGACATGGTTCGTCCAACTAGGGAGGGGTTTCGATTGAAAAAGATGGAGAGGGTGGCTACAAATTTTTAAGGGATGATGAATAGTGTTGGGTGGAGGAAGAAATGGATGGATATTATAAGGGGGAAAAAATTAGGATTTTAGGCAAACATTAATTTTGGTTACTAGTCCCTTCCTATTTGTCAATTTTGGTGTTATTTTACTTGTTTGAATTTCGGTGACATTCCTTAATTGATCATTCGGCTACTAGATCATTGGTAGTGGTATTTTGTTTATATATATGCAAGAGGTTACGAATTCAAATCCTATTAGATCTAGTTTAGTTAGAAGCCTTGGATGTATGTGTTGAATTTTTTTATTTTTTATTTTTAAAAAGCTCTTTAATTGTAATTAATTAGGACTTGTTCTTTAATTTTTTCTCAATTGTATCCTCCTTTTCTTTTAATTAAGGATTTAAGGTTTTGAACTTTTCAATTGCACCTTGAATTTGGATTTTTTTTCCAATTCCCAAACTTTTTATTTCTTTTAATTAGATCTTCATAAATAATTTTTAACCCCTTATTTTATTAAACTACTTTTTTTTTTTAATTTTCTTTTGCTTGTTTATGCCAAGAATTAAAAGAAAATAATAAGAGTGAAAATTGGGCATTAACATCTATTAATAATTAATTTTGGGTGGTGTAGGTGTGGAGTATTCAATCTTTAGCTTGTGAAGGTATGTTTCTCGCTCTCTCACTCTCTCTCAAAATTTTGTTGTCGGGAAGATTTATTATTGGTTTAATGATAAATTTTTCTCTTATTCTATTCCAATTTCACAATTTCAGATCTTTAGTACCAAATTATATAGTTTGAATACTCAATTATTGATTTTTAGGTAAAATTGATCAAATTTTCTAAATTATCGTTGTATGTAACGATCAACTAGTTTAATTGTTACTTAAAATGCCAAAACAATGTCGTTTGCGTTTTCCGTTGTTGATTATGTGCTTTAAAAAATATTTTTAACTCTTCTAACATTGAATTTTTTTCGAACTTTTCTCTTATAAATATTATTAATTATATAAAAAAATATATATTTTTAACCAACCTAATTTTGAATTTTTACAATTTTTTTATAAGATATCATAAATATTTTATATTTTTTAAAAAATTTAAAATTTAAAAAATTAAAGAGGTTAGCTCTTACTTATGCTCATTTTAATTTATAAAATAATATAAGTTATATTATAAACATTTTAATGCTCATTTGGATATTATAAATACTTTATAAAAATATAATAAAAACACAAGTAACGATAAACATTTTCAAACTTTTTTAAAAAAATATCTTATAATTTTAAATGAGTATAATTAAGGGTTGACCCTCCTAATTTTATAAATTATAAAAAAATATTTTTTAAAATATTTATAATATTTTGTAAAAGAAAATTTAACTAAACTTTGAAAATTAGGATGTTAAAAATATTTATTAAATTTTTTTATATAATTTATAAAATGTTTATAATATTTTATTAAAAAAATATTTTTAAAAATAAAGATTATGTTGGTTAAAAATATTTTTAAAATATTTTTTGAAAAAAAAAACATAATTCATATTGAAATGCCAAAACGATATTTTGGTATTTCAAGTAATGATCAATCCAATTGGTTGTTAGATATAGCAATAATGAAGAAAATTATGTCAATTTTTTTCAAAAAATTAATAGTTGAGGTTCAAATTATGCAATTTGATACTAAGAGTATGAGATTGTCAAAACTCAATAGATCGAGGGTAAAATTTACCATTAACCTATTTATTATTAAACAAAAACTCTAATCATTTTATTCAATAGAATTAGAAAAAATAGACTAACTTGGTTGTCAAGATCATCTTCATTTGGAAGAGAAGAAGAAACTGTTTTGATGTGTTGTGGAAGATATGTGAGAGGTATGAGAAAACTAAGATTTATTATTATTGTTACAACATCTAATTGATAGAGTCGCTACTACTAATTTCAAGCCCCGCATTATTGTTTTGCTTCCTTTCTTTTCGATTCTTGTTTTTAATTCTATTAGAACTACCATTCTCTAATGCAATTTCAGCTTGTTTTGTGTGCATTAAAAGGGGAAGAAAAGATGAAATAAAGAATGAAAAATAAAAAAGTGGCTCTATTTAATTACGATAAAGAATTTAGGCTTTTTCCTTTTTGATTTTCAATTAATTTTCAATTACACTCCTCTTCATGATACTCACGATTGTTTTACTATTTTAATAAAGAGGAACAAAGTTTGTCATGTAAAGCACACTAATATTAGAATAGTACTTGCATAACCTTTTTTAGTAAAAATTCTTGCTTCTATTTCTATAGGCCAACCCATGCCTTTGCACAAGAGCAATATCGACCTCTTAATGATATTTCTAAGATAAAAAAATAGATAGGTAAATATTGCTCATGAAAAAAAGAAGCAAAGTGCAGTAAAAATTAGTTAATTGCGTTAAGTGATGATGAGAATGAATATTCAAGTGTTGTAGATAATAAGTAAACAATTCAAAACCTAAATTACGCTATATCGTACTACACTATTCTCAATGGTATCAAAGTAGGCCCTTGCTCAAGAAATGAAGTGATAGTGATTTTGGGTATTAAAATTGATGGTTTAGAAGAGCAATTAGAGTAATTTTTCTCAATGAAGCCCTATGAAAGGAATTGTTGAAGTTTTTCATCTTTTACACGACTACTAACATAAAATCTCCAAACCAAGACAAAGAATTTTGTTTCAAAGAATTAATATGAATCAAAAGGTAAAAATATAAATGATAAAATTCATTGATTATATAAAAAAATTTCTATAATTTTAATTCTTTCATCCAATTTTATTAGGCAATTCTATTACAATATAAACTAAACTTTATTTTCAAACCTCCGACTCTTTAAGTTTCACGAAAGCAACTAATTCCTCACAAACCTTTGACACTTTATATTTCACAATAGCAATAGAAATTCTATAATCTAGAGCACGTTTCAAACTCTCTAGTTAAATTGAGAAAGAGAATTTACCTTCCACTTCAAACAAAACTTTAGTAAGTTTTCTCCAATCATTTTGCGGATCGATTATTCAAGATTAAATATAGTGTGAATTGCCATTTTTTTGTGAAAATTCAATCAAATGCTCATAGATTGAAAGGAACATTGCAGCTTCTAATATCATTTGAATAAGAACCATATGATATTTAAAATTTGCCTTCTTGGTTGAATCTTTTTGTTGTGCAACCAATGAAACCATAACATTTATTAATTCTTCGAGTTTTAATTTTATGTTATATCTATTAGCACTCTTACTTATCAAATCTAAATAACCATCATCACAATGTAATGTTTCTACATCCGATAGTCTAATCTATGCACTCTTAAATTGGTATCACTTATCATTATTCTTCTTAAATCTCATAATGTTTAAATTCTTTTTACCCAATCATATAGTGATGGCAACATTGTTAGTCCTAAGTATAATATCAAATGGAATTAATTTCATATTTGATTTTTGTTCTATTAATACAAATTGTTCATACTATTTTGTTCTATTGAAAATATCGTGATCTCTTTTGAAATTTTTTTCCTCATCTTATAATTTTTTTTAATACCTATCTCACTTGATTTCAACATTAAACTGAATAAATTGAGGTTCTATTAGAACTAGACCAAAAGAACAAAACAAATAACACATAATTAAAATATCAACTCCAATACTAATTAATACCAATTAAGAGGTGTAGAAACAAAAAATAACATAAAATTTGAGCTTACAAAATGTTAGCAATTGAAAAAACTAAGAATTCATAATTATTATACAACAAGTAAACATATTTTTAGCTAAACATCTTTGAAACACAACTATTCCATAGAAACAAATAAAGCTTATATGAGTTTTTTTCATTGTAGTAAGTATCAAGTATTCATAACATATTAGTGGTTCCATGAAGTGCTTTATACTAAAATAACAATAGAATCAAACCCAATATCGCTAGTTGCATACAAAACTCGTATGGTTAATTTCATAAAAAAACTCAATAGAAGGCTTCATTTAAAAAAATTGCTCGATCACTCTGTCAAACCATCCATTTTAATACCTAGAAATCAATCGTCACTATATTCCTTGAGCACTAACATTCAGCAAGACCACTGTTTTGATACCATTGAGACAAGTATAGTATCATATAGAACAATTTAGGTCTTGAATTATTCATTCGATCATCACTAATATGTTATTTTAGTCCGAAGCACTTCATGGAGTCATTAATATGTTATGAATACTTAATCTCGTATAAACTCGTATTTGTTTCTTTGTAATAGTTGTGTTTAATAAATGTTTAGTTAATAGTATGTTTACTTGTTGTATATAAGTTATGAATTCCTAGCTATTTTAAATACTAATCTTTTACAAGTTTAATTTTTATATGTTATTTTTATTTACGGACCTCTTTTGATTAGTATTGAAGTTGGCATTTTAATTTGTGTTGTTTGTTTTATTTATTTATTTATTTATTTTTCCTAGTTTAAATAGAACCTAAACTTGTTCAATTTAATGTTAAAACCAAATGAGATAGATATATAAAAAAAAAATTTAAGGTGAGGAAACATATTTCAAAAGAAATATATTTTTTTCAATAGGTTCAAAACAAGTATGAACGATTTGTGCTAATAAAACAGAAATTGAGTGTGAAATTAATTCCATTTGACATTATACTTAGGACTAACAATGGTGTCGTCACTATAAGATTAGGAAAAGATAATTTATGCATAATGAGCTATAAGGGGAGTATGACAAGTGGTACCAATTTGAGAGGACATAAATTTTTAAATACTTAACATAGAAACATTACATTATGATGATAGTTATTTGGATTTGATAAGTTAGGATGTTAATAGATCCGACATAAGAATGAGACTTGAAAAATTAGTAAATACCATGGTTTCATTGATCGAACAACAAAAAGATCTAGTAGAGGAGGTAAAATTTAAAAGTCTAATGGTTTTTGTTAAAGTGTTATCAAAAACTCGCATTGTTCTTTTCAATTTGTGAGTATTTTTCTGAACTTTTATGGAAAGGTGAAAATTCATACTATATTTCATCTTAGATGATGGATCCATAGAATGATTAGGGAAATTTTTTGAATTGAATGGTAAACACTCTTCCCGAATTTCACCAAAGTTTGAAACATATTCTAAATGATAGGATTTTCGTTTCTATTGTGAAATATAAAGTGCCAAAGGTTTGTCGGGAATTCACTACTTGTTGTGAAACTTAAAGTGTAAAAATTTTCAAAATAAAAGCTAGTTTATATTATAATAGACTTATCTAATAAAGTGGGATGAAAGAATTAAAACTATAAAAGTCTCGTTTATATAATCAATGGATTTTATCTTTTATATTTCTATCTTTTGATTCAAATTAACTTTTTGGAAAGAAATTGTTTGCTTGAGGAAAAAAAAAGGAGGGATAGTGACAATTTAAGAGGTAGTGTATTTTGTTTGTGATAGGTGGCGGTGGGTGGCTGGTATGCTAGAGTGATATATTGATTTGCAAGAAGAGATCAAAAAAGGAAAAAAAATGCAACAAGTAGCACGACTGGAAAAGAAAAACCAAATGAGAGAGAGGAGTTTTGGAGCGATGGTTGTTAAGCCTAGTTTAATTCCGATACCATGTAGAAACTAAGAGTGAATTGTAAGGAATTATCTCACTTGTATTATGTGCTACAACAAAATCTTTAAATAAACTTTCGAGTTACGGAGATAAAGATGACTATACACTAGAGTTCCTATTACAATAAGTTATTGTAATAGATATAACTTCTAAATCTTATCTTGACTAAATCGATCCTTAGCAATTTTGATCATATTGAAAGAGTACTTCTTTTTTTAAATGTGTTTTCTTACCTTACAATTTTTTATTTATTTATTATTTTTTTTAACCTATTGCACTTGGTTCTAATGTTAAACCGAAGAAGTTGAGGTTCTATTACAACTAAATCAAAAGAATAAAACAAAGAACATTTAATTAAAAGACTAACTCGTAATACTAATTTATATCACTTAAAAGGAGCAAGAACAAAAGATAACATATAAAAATTAAGATTACAAAATATCAGTATTTGAAAAAGTTTAAAATTCAAAATTAGAATATAGCAAGTAAACATAATTTTCACTAAACATCTCCGAAACATAACTATTATATTGAAATAAGCAAAGTCTATACGAGTTCTTTTTAATACGGTAAGTAATATGTAAATCATAACATATTAAGGGCTCTAAAAAGTGCTTCATACTAAAATGACAATAAAACCAAATTAAGTATGACCAATCATATATAAAGCTTAAACTAAGTTTGAAAAAATAGTTGAGAGAAACTTTTTGTGCTCGAGTACTTGAATCTTTGAAAATATGTAAAAAATAATTATTAAGCGTGTAGAAGTTTTTAAAACATGGATACTCGGTTACAATGAACAATTATTTTTGAAAATATAAAACTAATCGATAATCGGACTTGAGAAAACGTAAATTCTTTATTGAAATTAAGTAGTGATTTTTTTTTTTTAATTTGGGCTTTTAAGATGTGATATCATTGCATCGTGATGCCTAAGGATATGATCTAACGGATCATTGTATCGAGTAGCTAGATCCGTCTCTTATCATAAAAATGGATGTATGCGCACTAATCCATATGTGATGTGTGAACACCGACAATTGTGAAGGATAATACTTCCTATGGAGAAACGGATAAACAAAAAATTTTGTTTTTTTTTCCATTTAAAGTCCTAAAATCACCCGCTGAATTATCTAATTATGTTAACAAAATAGGTTAGATCGTTACCTCTTGAATTATGGAGAAGTGGATAAACAAAAATTTTTGCTTTTTCCCATCTAAAGTCCTAAAATCAGCCATTGAATTATCTAATTATGTTAACAAAATAGGTTAAATCATTCCTCTTTAAGTGCAGCAGCAAGTTAGCATATTGAATCGTCCAAGCGTTTGATCTCTAGTGATAATCCATACAGACTTAGACACCAACATAAAAAAGCGATAGACGATTAAGAGTGCTAGCTCCAATTCTTTTTGATATGTAGTTTGCACACAAGAATTCTTTTTGCAAGAAGATGGCTCAATTTCATATTGTAGAAGTTGGCACAATTTCGTTTGTAAAGAAGATTACGCCTTTCTCTTTTAGGAAATTCGGCCACTCTCTATGTAATAATGTCAAACTTATGCATGACTCAATAGGCTTCTATATGTGTTAGCAATATATTGAGAAGTGTCTAAGATATTTCTTTTATTTCTCAATACATAAATCAAGATTGTTCTCTATTAAGGAATCATGACTATCAAATTATATTGAAAGATTACTTAATCTACATCAATTTTATCATAATGCAATCTCAAACTTAGTTTGGCGTCTATTTGATCATGATCACACAAGTTTTTTTTAATCTCCAAATGTCTTAGCTCTCAAGTAAACCATTCATGCGCTATTAGTATACTTTCACTATGACCATAAATTCTTGAGCAAACATTCATAGAAGTAATGTGATAATTCTTTTAGCATATAAAGAATGATATGTCTTATCTCGGTTTTGAATTCTTAGCTTTTTCAAATACTAATTAACATTTTGTAAGATTTGTTTTTATGTTATTTTTTGTTTTTACATCTCTTAAGTGATATTAATTAGAGTTGGTCTTTTAATTATGTGTTTATTTTATTCTTTTGGTTTAGCTCTAACAGAATCATAACTTCTTCAGTTTAACGTTGAAACCAAATGTGATAGATATATAAAAAAAAATTTATAAGGTAGGGAAAAACATTCCAAAAGAGACAAGTATTTTTTTAATGTAATCAAAACGGTATGAACGATTTGTGCTAGCAGAATAGAAATCAAATGTGAAATGAACTTCATTTAATAGTTTGCTTAGGACGAATGATGCCGTCATCACTATAAAATTGAACTAAGAGAATTTGTACATAACGGGTTATAAGAACAGTAATGACAAATGGTGCTAGTTTAAGAGCATAGAAATTAAAATACCTGATGTAGAAACATTATCTTGTGATGGAGGTTATTAGGATTTGATGAGTAAGGGTGTTAATAGGTCTGACATAAGATTGAGACTTGAAGAATTAGTAAATGTCGTGGTTTTATTGATTGGACAAAAAAAATATCTAACTAAGGATTTAAAATTTAAAAGTCTAATGATTCTTATTCAAATGATATCAAAAGCCACATGACTCTTTCTAATTTGTGAGTATTTTTTGAATTTTTACGAGAAGACAACAATTCACACTATATTTTATCTTAGATGATCTATGTGCAAAATGATTAGGAAAAACTTTCTAAAGTTTTGTTTGAAGTCGATGATAAATTCTCTTTTTTAATTTTACTGGAGAGTTTGAAACGTACTCTAAATGATGAGATTCTCATTGCTGCTATGAAATACAAAGTACCAAAAGTTTGTGGGGAATGCGCTGTTGTTGTGAAACTTAAAGTGCCAAAGATTTGAAAATAGAGGTTGATTTATGCTGTAATAGAATTGGCTATTGAAGTGGCATGAAAGAATTAGAACCATAGAACTCTCCTCATGTAATCAATGGATTTTATTCTAACCTTTTTTATCTTTTGGTTCAAATTAATTTTTTGAAAAGAGATCATTTGTCTTGGTTTGGAGACTTTATGCTAGTAATTGTGTGAAAGATGAAAATCTTCAACACTTCCTTTCATGGAAAACCTGACATAGGGCTTGATTTAGAAAAATTGCTCTGCTCTCTCTTCCAAACCTACTATTTTAATATCCCAGAATCACCATCACTTCATTCCTTGGGCACTAACATTGAGCAAGGTCCTGCTTTCATACCCTTGGGACTAGTACAACACTATATAAAGCAATTTAGATCCTGAATTGTTTGCTTATTAGCTGTAGTACTTGAATCTTTTTTCTCAACATCACTTAACATAATTAACTAACGGTTGGAGCATTTTTGTTTTTTGTTTTCACGTGCAACATTTATCTGTCCATTTTGTAGTCTTACAAATATCATTAAAATGCCAATATTGCTCTTGCGGAAGGACATAAGGTTGGTGTGGAGAAATAGAAGTAATAATTTTTGCTTGAAAGGGTTTCACATGTACTACTTTAGTATCAATGTGCTTTACTTGACCAACTTTTGTATTCTGTGTTCGACGAGTGCCATTATCTTGAGCATCATGAGCAACAGAGTGTAACTGAAAATGTTCTTCATACGCAGGTCCTTTATAATGTTGTTTATCTGCTGGAATAATATGCATGAAAAATATGATTAGCTGAATTCCCTAGAATACACATAAAGGACTTTTATAGAAACATAACTGCAATTACAACAAGGCAAGCAACGCCTCACCAGTATGTTTTGCTGCAACACTTGGATCTTCCTCTCTATTACTAAACAAAATCAACTTAAACATTGGTTCACTTGGCTCAATAGATCCATCTCTTGGAGTTATTTGCTTCTTATTTCGACTTTCACTGTCTATTTGCTAATTCCTAACAGACTGACATTGCTCCTGTGGAAGAAAAGTACTGAGTATGCCTCGAGAAAAAGGAAAGTAGTTTGTCCCGAGAATATTTTGGGTGGGGATGCTCTCGAGTTAGAATATCATGGTAAATAGCCATATCTCTGAAACTGAGTTATAATATGCATTTCAAATGTGATATGTATAAGATATGAAATTCATTAAAAGACAGCACCAAGTTCTAACTTTTTGCTTGGTAATCCAAATATCTTGGTAAATAGCCATATTACTGAGACAGAGTTATAATATGCATTTCAAATGTAAAATATAGAAGATATGAAATTCATTAAAAGACAGCATCAAGTTCTAACTCTTTGCATGGTAGTCCAAATGTAGGTGAACAAACGATGGATGAAAATGAACATAAGCATCACAGTTAAATGATGGTATGATAAGGAAAAGATATTGAAAAAGGTTGACTTGTTTCTAAAACAACACAATCTCTGCAAATAAAAAATGACATTCTGTTTGTCCAAGGCCACAGCTAAGGAGAGTTAACAATGTTAATGATGCTATTCCTGCGTTGTGACATTTACACGTGGAGATAAGCTAAATGCTTAAATGAGAGAAATTATACATCGAGAAAGTGTATCAAGGCCAAGAAGAAAATAGAAAAGGAAAAAAAAGAAGAAAGAAAAAACATATTAAGCGAGGTCTAGCTGTTTTTGGCAGCAATGACCAAAGCAATTTCAAGTGAAGCTTGTGTAGTCCATTAGACCATGGGCTTTTGATGAACTAAAAAACCAAAGCAATTTCAAGTGAAGCTTGTGTAGTCCATTAGGCCATGGGCTTTTGATTAATTAAAAAAAAAAAAAAGTGAAGCTTATGAATTTTAATTTGATGCACTTAACCATTAGAGTTTGACTAAATCCCTGTTCACAGCCTGGGAGTGTTGTACGATCGTCTAGTTTTAAAGTCATCATCATCTAAAGATGTCTTGAAGTGTATCTTCTATCTTTTCAATCAGTTTTGTGTCTCTTCCATCTTTTTTTTTTCTCCTTCCAAATGAGAGTGACAGATCAGAGAAATAAAAATGCCCAAAGGTTCATATCTTTAGAAAAGTAGAAAGATTTTATTATAAACAAACTATTCATGAATTATGATTTAAGAGAAAACAATTCACAGAGTGGTTTATGTTTCAAATAATTAATCATGTGTTCTCATCCCCCCTACAGAGATAACAAAAAATCTATATGTGAAAGTGGGACAGAGGTCTTGCTTAACATTTTTGGTCTCTTAACTGTCCTGCTATTAATTGTTAACAGGTTTGTTCAGACATGTGGGAGTGAGAGCCCCAATGCCCTACTAATAATGCCACTGAACAGAATTCAGAACTAAAGGAACAAAATCGATTTCATTTCTTTGTTTTGATCATCTTTATGGGCAGAACCAGATTTTGATGAGTTTCGAAGCACAGTTTCCTTTGACAATGTCTCTATTTTCCTGTAAAATGAAACATAGATCAAAAGCTATAGAGAATTGCTTCATTTAAATGTGGAACAAGCACAAGATCTTAAAAATCTTTTTAAGAGCATGCTGCAAGTGGATGGAAATTTTGTATCTAGTAGAAAGTAGAATTCTGAACCAGACTAGCGTTACTTAGGAGCCTTAAGTTTATGTCATATGTCAAAAGAAAAAATAAAAAAATAAAAAAGGTGATGGGCTATACTCAAAGAAAAAGATGGTGGTGAGCCCCTCTTGAAGAAAAAGAAGAAAAAAATAATAATATAAAAAGAACAAAATTAGAAACGAAGGGCGGTGGGCAGTTCCATGTGTGTTTTATGTTCCCCCAATGCCAGAGAAGTGATAAAGGCCGTGTGGTTCGAGCCCCGAAATGTATGTGGAATTCAAACCTGATCAATTTCTTAAGACTATTAACTTACTATCTAGGTGCAGATTAAGTGGATGTATATTATCTAGAAAGGAGCTGTACAAGTGGTGTAAGTTGCTGTCAAAGGTGGTGCAAACTTCAGCTATATAAGCTGTCAAAAGTCGGTGAAATTTCAGTAAGAATTGAGCTGTCAAATTCGGTGGAATTTATGGTATACATGAGCTGTAAAGTCTGAAATTCCAGCAGGATATAAGGTGTCAAAGTCATGTATAATTTATCTAGATTAATCCTCAATGACAGTGTAGCATGTCTATAAATAGGAACTTGTGTTTGTTGTAATATATGTACGAGAAATAGAGATATCACAAGAGAAAAGAGAGTGTAGAAACTTAGATAGCAGCTACTATCAAGAGAAAAAAAATTAAAAGTGTTATAACACCCATCTATTGAGAGAATATTTTGTGAGAGAAGAGATTTCTTTTGAAATCACTATATCATTAATATACTTCTATTTGAGTTAAAGCCTAGCATGCTTCCAATAAGTGGTATCGAGCCTCGGTTCGTGTCTTCCTTTTAAGCGAGATGATGGCCTAAATGATTTAACCTCAAATCTCGAAATTAACAAATTCGAATTATGGAAACTAGAGCATCCAAATAAAAGTTCTGCTCGGTTCACATGATCAATGGGAGATTGTTGAAGAAGGCTATACGAGCCCGAAGATGCTACTCGTTGAAGCATCTTTGACAAACGCGCATAAGACAGACACTTAAGAATTACACAAAAAGGATAAAAAGGCCTTGTTTTTCATTTTTCAAGGAGTTGATAAATCAACCTTTGAGAAAGTATCAAACGCAAAGACATCAAATGAGGCATGGGAGATTCTACAAAAATCTCTTCAAGGAGTCAAAAAAGCTAAAAAGGTATGGCTCCAATCACCTAGAGCTGAATTTGAGACACTAAAAATGCAAAATGCCGAGAAGATCAATGATTACGTGACTCGTCTAAAAATAGTGGCGAATGATATGAAAAGAAATGACGAAACTCTTGATGATGTCGAGTGATGGAAAAACTCTTACGTTCGTTGACAAGGAAATTTGATTATATCGTCACTACTATTGAAGAATCAAAAGATTTGTCACAAATTTCTATTGATGAGCTAGTGGGTTCTTTTCAAGCTCATGAACAAAGAATGAACCGAATGACAATATTGATAATCTAGAGTAAGCTTTGCAAAGCAACTTATATATTGGTGACAATCAAACTAGCATCGGCTATGGACGAGGTAGAGGAAATCGAGATAGCTATAGAGATGGCTACGAGAGGTGGCTGCAGAGGTGGACGTGGTGGAGGAGGATGTGGTAGAAAGTCTTTTGAAAGAGGCCAAACAAATGAAGGCTTTCAAATATCCGATCGTGGTTGAGGATCCAAAAATTGAGGAAGAGGCATATCTCAACAACGAGGTGATAAATCACATTTGTAATATTATAATTGTAATAAGTATGGCCACTTTAGTTATGAATGCGGATTAGCCCCAAAGATAAAGGAAACAAATCATTTTGCGATAGCGAGAAGACAAAGACGGTGACTCGACTATCTTTCTAACATATAGAGAAAATGAAGAGTGGAAGAAAAATATTTGATATCTCGACACCAATGTTAGCAACCACATATGTGGTCGAAAGAAGTTGTTTATAGATTTGGATGAGACTATCCAAGGAGAAGTTACTTTTGGTGACTCATCAAAGATTCTAATTAAAGGAAAAGGTAAGCTTATAATTATCTTTAAAAATGGAGAAAAGAGGTACATACTTGATGTTTATTATGTACTCGCTTTGAAAAGCAATATCATCGACCTCGGCCGGCTCCTAGAAAAGGGGTATGATATATACACGAAGGATTGTTCTCTCATCATCAACAAAAGTGGAGAATTAATTACCAAAGTTAATATGACAAAGAATCATCTTTTCACACTTGATATTCATATAGAAGTGCTAAAGGGCATGAAGTCCGTCATTAAAGATGAATCATGGTTATGGCATTTAAGGTTCGGTCATCTTGGATTTATCGGCTTGAAGTTATTATCAAGAGCAAAGATGGTGGATGGACTTTCGAAATTAATCAACCGGATCAACTATGTGAAGCTTGTGTTAAAGGAAAACAACATAGACAAAGTTTTGAAGTGGGAAAATCATTGAGAGCCGAAGGCTTTTGGAGATTGTTCATTCGGATATAGCTGGTCCATTTGATATACCATCACTTGGTGGAAACAAGTATTATCTTACTTTTATTTATGATTTTAGTAGAAAAATTTAGGTGTATATTCTTAAAGAAAAATTAGAAGTCCTTGATAAATTTAAGGAGTTCAAAGCAATGGTAGAAAAAAATGGGTAGTATCTAAAGATACTTAGATCCGATAGAGGAGGCGAGTACACCTCAAAGTTGTTTGAAGGTTTTTGCAAAGAAAATGAAATCATTCATCGCCTAATGACCTCATATACACCATAACAAAATGGCATTACGAAAGAAAGAATTGCACGATTCTTGACATGGCAAGGAGCATGGTGAAAGAAAAGCACTTACCGAGAAATTTTTAAGTCGAAGTCGTTTTATGTGCTCGTTTATTTACTTAATTGGTGTCCAACAAAAAGTATCAAATTCAAAACACCAAATGAAGCATGGAGTGGTAACAAGCCCGTAGCTGGAAATCTCGGGATTTTTGGATGCATTACATATGCCCATGTTCCCGATCGGAAAAGAAAGAAGTTAGATGATAAAAGAGAGAAGTGTATCTTTATTAGCTATGAGAAAAAGAGTAAGGCATATAGATTGTACAATCCTTTGACCAAGACGGTGATCATCTCACAAGATGTTGAATTTGATGAAGCAGATTACTAGAGATGGAGCAATAAAGATAAAGAAGTTAAAGGACTATTTTTTAATGATGACAATGACGATGACTTCAACACACAAAATGAACAAGGTGATGACCAAACTCCTCCATAAATTCCAACTTCAACAACTCTTGAATCAACACCATCAACGTCGTCGGAAGTAGCAGCGAGTAGCAATAATTCGGGGGGTACCTAAAAAAATACGAGTCTAAATGATATCTATGATTCCACGGAACTCGTGCGGACAACATTCGATTACTCACTATTTTGTTTAATAGCGAGTGTGATCCATTAATATACGAAGAAGCTACTAAAAAGGAGAAATGGAGGAAGGCCATGAATGAAGAAATTGCTACAATCAAAAGAAATGACACATAGGAATTAACTAGTCTTTCAAAAGGACATAAGGCAATAGGAGTCAAATGGGTATACAAGATAAAGACTAATCCATAAGGAAAAGTGGAAAAATATAAAGCAAGATTAGTTGCTAAAAGCTATAAACGAGATACAAGGAATTGACTATGAGGAGGTGTTTGCTCCAGTTACAAGAATTAATACTATTAGGCTTCTCACAACGGTCACGAGCATAAAATAAATGGAAGATTTATTAGATGGATGTGAAGTCCGAATCTTTGAATGGATACTTAGAAGAAGAAGTTTATATCGAGCAACCACCGGGATATATTAAAAAAGGACATGAAGATAAAGTCTATTGATTGAAGAAAGCCTTGTATGGGTTGAAGCAAGCTCCACGATCTTGGAACACCGGAATAGATGAGTACTTCTAGAAGAATGGCTTTACAAAAAGTCTATATGAACATGCTTTATACACGAAGAAAAATCAAGATGGTGATATCATGACTGTGTGCCTATATGTGGATGATATGATCTTCACGGAAAATAATCTAAGTATGTTCTATGATTTTAAGAAAACTATGACTAAAGAATTTGAAATGATAGATATTGGTGAAATGCCATACTTTCTTGAAATCGAGGTAAAATAAATGGAAGATGGAATATTTATGTCACGGTAGAAGTATGTAGAACAAATTTTGAACAAGTTCGGAATGAAGAATTGCAAGCCGGTAGCTACACCAGCAGAAGCAAGCATGAAGTTGAGGATAGATTCAAATAAGGAGTCCGTAAACTCGACACTATTTAAGAGTACGAGTCGAAGTCTAGGTACCGACTTTCACATGCCCAAATATTATGTACGCGAGTTGAATTGGTCCGTAGATATATGGAGAAGCCAAAGCAAGATCCTTTTATTGTAGTAAAAAGAATTTTGAGATATATCCAAGGTACGACGGATCATGGTTTATTTTATATATCTTCTCAAGGTTCAAAGTTAATTGGTTACTCAAATAGCGATTATGGTAAAGACTTGGATGATCGAAAAAGTACTTTTGGATATGCATTTCATATTGGATTGATAATATTTTCATGATCATCAAAGAAGCAACAAATAATTACACTCTCGACATGTGAAGCGAGTATATAGTCACAGACAGCATGTACATGTCAAGCAATATGGTTGAAGAATACCTTGAGTGAGTTATATCTTGAATAAGAAGGTCCAACTACAATATACATTGATAATAAATCTGCTACATCACTTGTGAAGAATCCAATATCTCATAGCCAAAGCAAATATGTAGATACAAAATATCATTTTATTCGAGAGCAAGTGAAGAACAAAGTTATGGAGCTAATTCATTGCGGAACAAAAGATCAACTTGAAAATATTTTTACAAAGCCTTTGAAGATTGATGTATTCCACGGACTCAAAGAAAAGCTTGGCATGAGAAATCGAGTTTGAGGGAAAGTGTTGAAATTCAAACCCGATTAATTTCTTAAGACTATTAACTTACTACCTAGACATGAGTTGTAAAGTAGAGGAGGTGCGGATTAAGTAGATGTATATTAGCTAGAAAGGAGTCATACAAGTGGTGCAAGTTCGTTGTCAAAGGCGAGTGCAAGCTTCAGCTATATAAGTTGTCAAAATTCAATGAAATTTCAGCAAGAATTGGGCTATCAAAGTCGGTGGAATTTATGTTATACATGAGCTGTAAAGTTTAGAATTCCAGTAGGATATAAGGTGTCAAAGTCATATACAATTTGTCTAGATTAATCCTCAATGACGGTGTAGCATGTCTATAAATAGGAACTTGTGTTTGTTGTAATATATGTATGAGAAATAGAGAGATCACAAGAGAAAAGAGAGAGTAGAAACTTAGATAGCAGCTACTATCAAGAGAAAAAAATTGAAAGTGTTGTAACACCCATCTATTGAGATAATATTTTGTAAGAGAAGAGATTTCTTTCGAAATCACTATATCATCAATATATTTCTATTTGAGTTAAAGCCTAGCACGCTTCCAACAATGTAAAAGGAAGTGCTATTGAAGATTTATTTTGTTTTTCAAATTAAATGCTATAGAGGAAACTTGTAATAATTGTTAGAACATGTTGTAATAACCGTTAGAATATGTGGTATCTTCCATGATCCGTTTGTACTAATAGATCTAGTCCAACTTTAATCCAACTCATTCGCAATATTATATTATGAATACATGTAAATTAGCATACAATATACTGTTTGAGTTTTTAGAACTTGTTTGGACCATTAACAAGAGAATGATATAGATTAGACATGTTTTAGTGAATGTTTTTAATAATCTCAAAAGTGCCTATCCTTCATTCTCTCTACCATTGATTTTGATACTTAAGGAACCCTCCGTTTATGTTGTAGGTATCCTAAGATAACAGGATGATATCGCTAATGCTTGTCCAATTTGTCTTGGAAATTGCAACTGTAAATCTTGTTTGTCTCTAAATGCACCATTAATTCAAAGCATGTTCTCTAACCTTGCAGTTCACTTTCAAATAAGGAAAAGTGGAATTTTGTATGCGAAAGGTGTTGCTTTATGAGATGAAATGATTGTTTATTGGTTTAATGGCCAAATTCCCAAGTCTTGCAATAATTTTTCCTTATTTGTTATGATTTGTATTCTAACAGTCAATCTTCTCATTGTTTCTTATATGTGTTTTGTGTTTTTCTAACAATAATGTTGGTGAGTGCATACGTGTGACGACAGTGGAATTCCGTTTGCTTCCCCCAAATCACCAGGCTAACGAGGAGAAGCTGGAGGTATTTGTAATATTTTCCTTTTATGTCTATAATGATGAAAAGTGCTGGAACCCATTTATCAATTTGAAGGGAATGAGTCTTTGCTCACAGAGATGTTTTTCTTTTGAAATTGTTTTGTGAAATGCAGGCAGGTGCAAGATGACCAATTTGTATTTGTTGTGAATCTCTCTTTCTCTTTTCTTATCCGTCCAAAGAGTTGTTAGATCAATTTCTTATCGTTTAATTATTGTATAACATATTTACCTAAAAACCAAAAAAAAAAAAAAAATACCCCATATATATGACTCATGTTATGGTAAAAAATTTACTGCAGCTGTATAGTCTGCCGCAAAAACGGCTCTAGCAGCAGAAAGAAAGCATAGAGCCTTTTGACTTGTTAACCAAGAAACGGATTTTCTTCCTCTCTAAAACAGACCCATTAAAATTGCATCCCACACCTATTTTCCTATCAAAAAGACCCATTATGATTTCTGTTCCAAGAAATCATAATTTCTGCAAGATTCACCACCACCACTTCCAAATGGCATCAACTCCACAATTCAAACCCTATTTTATACCAGAAGATGAGTGGCCTGAGTTCACTACTGCATTGTATGATAATTTGGATTCTGGTAAAGAAAATGTGCTAGAACTCGTGCTTTCAGGGATTAAAATGTTGTTCACTGGTGGTGCTGAAAATAGATTTGAACAAAAGTCTTGAAACTTTGTGTGAAAAATTTAAGAAAATCTTCAGTTCTTGTGAGGTGTTATTGAAGGTGAAAGAAGCGGCTGTTGAGGCCTCTTATGGTTGTATCTTGCTTCTTAAGAATCCTGTAAATTCTTCTGTGTAGAATTATGAATACTGTGTTCTTTAATAGTGGGTTTTATGTGATTCAAGAGGAGTATGCACGGTTGATTCTTGATCAACTGGTTGCGTTAGCGAGGGCAGAATCTTGGTTCTTGAGAAACTAGATTGATAAGGTAGTTAAATTTATGTTTAGTATCATGGAGAATCCTGAATATGAAGAAAGAACAAGGTTTCTTGCTATAGAATTTGTGCTAGTTCTAATTGAAGATAAAAAGGGTTACCAGATTTTGGTAAATACAGGGGATTTTGGTAAATTGCGATGCAACTTATTGTAATAGTAAACTCTTGAGTGTAATAGTAGCAAGATTTCCTCTTGGCTGTAATAGTAGCAAGATTTCATCTTGACTCAAGAGTGGCTCAGCTTAAGCAGAAGATGATCATGATGGCCGAATTGTTTCCTCGTACGATCGTGTCAGTTATGAAGGCTTATTGTTAGCTATCTAAAGGATGTATCTGTGCTAGCTAGCATCCCACATATATCCTGCATCTAGAACGAACTAAAGCAGACTGCGCAACTTCTTGAGCTAGCTCCCAAAATGAACCCTCCACCATAGCTGTAAGGAGTTAAGACTGCTTTCTCTAAAAGCAATTACAATAACTCCATATATACCTTAAGAAATAGAGGATTGGGGAAATTGCTTTCATAAATCCAATCAAACAGTCATTAATAGTAGGTTAAAACACGTTTAATTCAAGTTAGTAGTACATGCATGCATATAAGCTTAGACTCGAATACTCATTCCAGGTGCATAAGCACAACATTTAATATTGACAGTTCCGGATAAAAGAGTCCTAGCAAGAATAACAACACATAAGAGACTGAGAACATCCGTTAAACCCTAGCACTTCAAATTAACCAAACCGCGATACTGCTTTTTGGTAGAAGGAGAATCCTCTTCCAGATCCCAAGGCATGCTATAAGGATAAAGGACCCTGATAAAAACCATCAGCCGGATGATGAACAACGCCCTTAGGGTCACAAAAACCACAACCAATACTGCAAAAGAAAAGAAAAGAAAGGAAAGGAAAAGATTGGTCTTCAATGTAGTGCTCCTTTCACAAATAGTTAAGTGTGTTCTTTTCTGTACAAAATAAGTCATTTTTATTCAGATAAACTGATTTGGAGTGGTGTTTCCCCACATAAATTAAAATAGTAAAGATCGAATTGGCAATTACGTAGACGAATCAAATCACATAACAGCAATCACAATACCGGTGACTTGTAGCATCTTTTCTTTTCGAAATATGTGTGACAAACATGGTTGACTTGAAGGGAATTTCCAATTAGATAGAAGTTCATTACTTTGGTAAACCCCTATAATTTCTTTTAATCATTAATCACAATACCGTTGATTGGGTTGTAGACAATACCGCATATACCCAAATTAATACATTTACGAATTTTTATATATTTTTGAAAAAAATGAAGTTACCTCTCTTCAGAGCCCAGCTTCCAAGAGTATCAGATGAATCCATTGATTGAGAAGGTTATCTTCGAATTGTTGATTTGTAATTTCTGTTATTTCCAATTGTTTGGCGCCCTTCTATCCACGCCAGGAATCATTTTGATTAGTCCTCAAAATTAATAAAATCCTCATGCAATTTGGAATCCCCTAGAAAGTGAAAACAAATTTAACCAACCGCCTCCCTTTCTTGCAACCAACTCTCTCTTCTCTTCCCGTCTCGTCTTTCTTTTTCTTCAATTCAAACCCCAACTTGCTCCATAAAATTCAATCCCACAGGTCCAAAAGAATTAAGATCAAACAAACTCACTAATGATATCAAGGTGCAAAAGTCATTGCAAAGACAAAAAATTCAAAATATTTTATGGCCAAAATTAGTTAGCTAGCTTCCATTTTCCACACTAAGAATTTTTCTTTTTGTTTTTTTATTTTATTTTTTTGTTTTTTTTTTTTTTGGGATAAAATAATGCCAATTTTGAAGAATATATTATAATACATTTTTAATATACAAATTAATTAGTTTTTTTTTTCAAAAAACTAAATATTTAATCCTTACATTTTTAAATTTTATAGCAACTTGGTCTTTTTTATTTTTTAATTTATTTTGATTTTTTCTTTTAAAAATTAAAAAATTAAAAACAAATATGAAAAGATTGAGGAGAAAATTTATTTTTATTTTTTCTTTTAAAAAATTAAAAATTAAAAAAAATATATGAAAAGATTAAGGAGAAAAAAATATATTTTTTGAAATAAAGTAATATTAAGTTAAGATAGTCAACAAAGGTCAAGAAACTAAATAATTAATTTTTAAAATAAAAATTATTAATTAATTACTTTTTGAAAATAAAGGAATTAATTTATACTATAATCCAAGTTTGAAGTTTGTATTTACCATTAAAAAAGAAAAAAGAAAAAGAATACCGTATCAATTTATATAATTATATAAATTAAGGTTAATAATAATAATAATAATAATAACTTTGCACGTCTCTTCTTTTTTTCTATTTTTTTTCCTTTCAATATTAAAATGACTCAAGTGCCGCTTGAACTCTATGTTTATTACCATTTATTTATTTATTTTATTTATTCTTAAATAAAGAGTGCAATAAATAACCTTAATTTCACCAAGGTATTATATAGTATAAATACACACCATCATGTTAATTCTTAAATTACTCCATAATGCAGAAGGCTTGCTATATGCATCATTATTATGGTAAATTTAGTTTTGGTATATGAAAATATTTAGTTAGAAGGTTAAGTAATTTTTTTTTTTAATTTGAATCTTGAAATCATTATGTGCTTATTAGTTTTGGTATATTCTTCTTTTATAATAATAATAATAATAATAATAATAATAATAATAATTATTATTATTATTATTATTATTATTATTATTATTATTACATGCGATTGATATGAGATATAGGTAAGCTCTTGAAATTGTTTTTTTTTTAAAAAAAAAAAAAGAATTATTTTTAATTGATATGCAACTTAACTGAAGAATACTCCTAACTCGTCAAAATAATAATAATAATAATAAATAAATAAATAAATTGATGTACGTAAACCTGCGCATGTTAAAGCTGAAAAAAAATTTCTACAATATAGGTTTTATTGAATTTCAATGTTTGATGCAAAATTTAAAAGTTGTTATCATAATTTTGACATAAAGTGATTTCTACAACTTCAAATCTTGAAATAGCCTAAAGAGCTCTAATCAATGTTAACAATCCATCTCTTCAAATGATCTACACTTTTAGTAGACTATAAATTAATTCATTTAATTTTGATAAATGAATTAATTAATATTTTTTAGTTTAAAAACTAATTATTTAGTATCTATATTTTAAAATCTATTTGTAAATTTATTTATTTATTTTTATCAAAATCAATGCTTGTATTGGTTGTAGCTTTGCCGATTTTATGAGTTTGATCAATTGCTAATCAAATGGTTAAAATGATGTGTTTTAAACAAAAAGAAAAAACAAGTAGTAAGGTGTGTTTTTTAAAAAAAATTAGGGACATTATTCACAATGGTTAAATGACTTCATCGTAAAAATACCAAAAATCACGAAATACGGGGTTATGGAGGAGGAAGAAAAGGGTAAATAAACTTTGAGTTTGATAGCATAAGTAAAAATTAAAAGGATTAATGGTTTAATTTGTTTTTATATAACAACTTAATTTTTCAATATTTTCTTATATTTTTAATTAAATAATTTTATCCTTCATATTGGGAAAATTGTAGACAAAATTATTGGAATTGATCATGTAATTTACACATAACTATTTTTAATTCTCATAATACTTTTGTAAGCTAGATAAATAAAAAAACTTTCATGCAAAGATCACGTGACTAATTGGTTTTTTAACTTGAAAATCTTACCATAACAATATATTAAAAATTTGACGTATATTTAAGTGTAGAATTAACTCAACAAAGATATAAAAGAAAGATTGAAAAGATATATATATATATTGCCAAGTGAGCTTAGAAATTTTGTTGGGTCAAGGTCCAACATGTTTTTGATCATAATGTATAGTAGCTCAAAAGAATTAAAAAATGGTTCAACTTAGGCCTACAACATGGTGAAAAGATAGATTCATGATTTTAAAAAAAATAGGTAAGTAAAAATAATGTATAATAATCCCTTAATCTTTCCTCCTCTATAGTAATCAGTAAACAAGGAACAAACAATATTATTTCAAAGCATCAACAATATAGATCATTAAAAAAATATATAAATCTATAACACGGAAACTACATTCGTCGCTATTTTCATCATTGAAAAATATACATCAGCAATCCGTCGTTAGCCATCGCTAATTAGCGATGGACTTTATCCATCACTAATTGAAAGCAATTATGGAATCCCGTGGGATAAAATTATTGATGGATTTGAAATTAAAATTACCAATGGAGTAGCGATAAATTGCTCAATCTATCGCTATTTGGGCAAATTTCTCAAACTTTCCATAGTATATATATATCCAAGTGTCCTTAAAGATTTTGCTAGGTCAAGGTCCAACATGTTTGCGATCATAATGTACAGTAGTCTAGAAGAATTAAAAAAATGGTTCACCTTGAGCTTGCGACATGGTGAAAAGATAGGTCCATGATTTTAAAAGAGTAGGTAAGTAAAAATAATGTATAGTGATCCCCGAATCTTTCCTAGTAATTAATAAACAAGGAACAAATGGTATTATTTCAAAACATTAACAATATAGATCATTAAAAAAATAGATCTACAACAAAGAAACTACATTTTGTCCTTATTTTCATCATTGGAAAATTTACGTTAGCAATTCATCGCTAGCTGTCATTGTTCGTCGCTAATTAATGACGAACTTTATCCGTTGTTAATTGAAAGCAATTATGAAATCGATGGGATAAAATTATCAATGGATTTCAAATTCAAATTAGTAACAGAGTAGCAACATATTGATTAATCCATCACTGTTTGCACAAATTTCTCAAACTTTCCAAAGAAATTGAAAGCTAAAGAAAAAACAGGATAATTTTTTTTTTTTTTGGCATGTATGGTTTTTTTAGTTTATCATATATACTAAATAAATTGTATGTAATATTATAACACTCTAAGTCTCAAATACTTCCATCAAGTATATCATGTATCACTCGTGGAAGCAAAGTCTAGTACAAGTGCTAAAAAAAAAAAATTTCAAGATGCATCCATTGCTGGTTCCTCTATAACCCTAAGTTTCTCTATTACCGAAGTCGATTTCCAACTCGTTATGATAAATCCAATGAGGTCCTTTTATGCCTTTTTCCTCCCCAATTAATGTTACTATATGTAAGTTGGTTTTATTTTTTTTGCCTCTCTCATCAAATGTCTCAAAGCCTTCTTGATCTATGTCATCCGCCATAAAAAAAGAAGGAAGTAAAGGTCTAATTTTTTTTTCAATTCATTGCTAATTTCAATAAGTTGAGTTAAATGGAAGTGTCGATCCT